ATAAACCCATTACCCTTTTTGTGTGTGTCTGCAGAAAATTACATTTTGAGGGAGGGTGAGGCCCCACAGACAGGAAGCCCAAGTCTACTCTGGGCTACCCGGTAACAATAGAGCTTTTTTTATTTAGTAGCTTGAGATAAATCTCATATACCATGAAACTCATACATTTAAAATTTATAATTTGATGGTTTTATTTTTTTTCTTTTTCTCCACCCCAGTTTTTAATAATTCACAGAGCTGTATAACCATCACCACTATCTAATCTTAGAACATTTTCATCACCCTCCCCCCCCCCATGCTCATTAATAGTCACTGTTTCCAGTCTCCTCCCTCAGCCCTACTAATCTAATATCTTCTACTTATATTTTCCTGTTTGGATATTTTATACAAGTGGGATTATATAAGTGGGGCCTTTTATGACTAGCTTTTTATTTAGCATAATTTTTTTTAAGCAAGAGAATTTTATTCTCTGGTAGTTCTGGAAGTCCAAGTTCAAGGTGTAAGCAGATCTGATTTTTCTGAAGCCTCTTGCAGTGACTAGCAGACAGCCACCTTCTGGCTATGTCCTCACCTGGCCTTTTATCTGTGTGCACAATGTAATGTTTTTAAATGTTCTATATGTTGTAGCATATGTTAGCGCTTCATTCCTTTTTATTGCCAAATGATATTCCATTGTAGGAATAGATGCAACACATTTTGTTTAAACATTTAGCATCAATGGACATTTTGGTTGTTTCTATTTTCAGGCCATTATGAGGAATGCTTTTACAAACCTTTGTGTACAAGTTTTTTTTTTTTTTTTAAGATTTATTTATTTATGCATACAACAACTGGGGTACAGGCCAGAGGTATGTGTTGGGGGCGCAGTGAGAGGATTCACCAGAGACAGTGTGGGGAGCAGAACACTGCTGTTGCCAGATGAACAATCTGACTTAAAGTGATTTGCCCATGATAACAGAAGAACTAGCTAACTAGCAGAGCTGGGAAGATAAATGACTTTGGATTTTAAAATGGAATAACATAGAATTTTCATGGTTTGTATTTGAAAAAGTTTTCTTTTTTATAGAGAACAGCCCTTTGATTTCAATATAGTAAGGACAAAGGGATGACATCAAGAAGGCACTTGTTTTTAAGTTGTACTCTATAGTAAGAACACTGTTTTCCCTTTGTTCAATGAAAATGGCAATTTTGTGGAGCTACTTTTAGGCAGACCTTGATTAAGTCTTCTCAGTCTGAAAAGTAACAGACAAGGGGTTTGGTTCCTAATGACCTTCGGGAGAATTTATTCTTTTGGGGAGCTTGGAAGAAAGCGCCTCCATTATTTGGGTTTGGGATTTAAGTGCAAAGAATTCACTTGGATAATCATTTACCCTTTCCATTGAAGTCAAAGAAAGCATTCCATATTGCCTAATGAAATGAAGGTGAGAAACAGAGTGTGGTCTTTTAGCATATCCTGTGTATGGGCCGTCTACAGAGGACTGGCATGTGGGAAAATTCAGGATTTTTGTCAGTCATCAAGGTCTTTGTCTTCCTGTTAGATAATACAGAACAGGCAAGCAACGAAGAAAATATTCAGACAAGAACAATACAAAATGCCATATTCGCGTAGGTCCACATTCACATGTGTGTGTGTTTTTTTAACCTACTAGCCCATGCTGCTTGACCTTAATGGTTTCCTTTTATAAAGAAATCTGTGATGGAGCCCACTTCCATGGTCTCATTGAGTTTTTCATTTTGTTTTATTTAACTAGTCATTTTCCTCTATAAAGGAAATCGATTTGCCCCTTATGTTAAAATGTAGTTGACTTTCATGAAAACAATAGTTTCAGACCACCTAGTTCAACAACGGGACAATAATTCTTTTAAGCCAGACTTCTAGGCTTACCACTGCCAACAGTGGAAAGTTTTGATTCCCATCTGAGTTTCACAATGAGGGAATCGTTGTTAAATTACGGTGCTCCACCCTTGTACATGAAGCATCCGGTGGATTTATTTCTCAATAGACAATAGGATTCTGAGCTACTTACTAAAAAGAGCAAGCTGAGTTGTATGTGGTATGAAGAGGTGTATGTACATGGGTGTGTGTGTGTATATATATATATGTACATATATATATTTAATGTCTCTTATTTAGATATAAGAAGTACATAGATATCCCTATATCTCTATCAAGATAAAGTATCTGATACAGATTTAGATGCTCAAAAAATTCTAGTTAATCATTACTTAAGTATGAGTATGGACATTAATCTGCTTCAAGGAAATATTTTCAACCCTAATGTGATTTTAAAACATTCAAAAATGAAATTCCATTTTGCTCTTTTGCTTGTTAACTTTCCAGTTAAATTGTAGCCTTGGCACCTCTGTTAATCTTTGTGAGAGTCTGGTTTCCTATTAATTGAAGAAGAGTCACGTATTCAAAGTGCCCAGTTACTTGGAAACACAGCTTCCTTATACTTCTTCCTTTTATCTTGTTCAATATTTTAATCTTTCTTCCTCATTCCAAGTGTAAAATGTATTGATATCACTGGAGACAAATACAACAAAATATTTCCCCTATCATTTCCCCCTATATTTTCTAATTACAATATATTTTTCTCAGTGTCTTATTTAAGCATTCAGTTCTGTAGTCTTGTGGTTGAAGCCCAAAAGTACGTGCAGAAGGTCTAAGCGGAACAGTCCAGTCTATATAACACTTCACTCATCTGGGATTCGTGTGGTTTTTGGAGGTCAAAGGTTCTCTCTGATGAGGTCAGGAGCACTGTTGTTCTAATGTGCCGATGAATGAAGAGTTACATATTTAGAAACAAAAAAAAGCAGGCAATGTGAGTCACCTCATGTTGTGAAAAAGGAAGCTTTGTCCCTATGACCTCACCTGGATTAGAAAGCTTATTATCTCCATACAAACCAGGGATACCTGCAAATAATGCCAGGATTTTCCATGACAAGCTTTGTTAAATAATTTCTAGCACATAAATAGTTGCTCAATTAAACCCCCAGTGTTCATTGCCATAAGAAGGGCAGAAACTCTTCTGATCTGGATAATTTTCAGGGCAGGTGTTATCAGCTCCCTATGGCTTTAGAAAAATCTGGTGTTTCCAAGGATCGCTGATTTTGAGCTACATGTTGCCACAGCAAGCTCATACCAATGAATCAGTATAAAATATTGTTCAATGGGGTTGACAGTCCAGTGGGCTCTGTATCAAACAGTGAGTTTAACTTAAATTAGGAATGATTGAATCATATTGTTTAGTAGTAATTTCATACCAGGAACTAGTATATATAAAAGTTATTTTTAAAATATTGACCTACACCACAGGGAATACCAAAAGGCACATTTTTCTTACACCAATACATTGGTAATTGCAAACTCAGCGAAACCTTTTCTGACAGAGTGGAAGGAGATGACTCTACCGAGTGGACCTTTGCTACAGGCCAGGCAGCAGATGATTCTATCACCACGCCTGTGATGTGGCTCATGAGTTTTCCAATTTTACACCTGAGAATATTAAGAAGCAACAAATTAAGTAATGTCCAGGCCATGCATTAGTAAATGGAGAAACTAGGCTTCTAATGCATCTCTTTCAACGGGAGATAGTTTCCTTTGAAGTATTAGGACCCCAGGGAAACACTGGAGAGTACTGTTAGATTTGACCATGGAAATTGGCACAAATATGTCCTCTCAAAAGTCACTGCTTAGTACATCTTTACTATAAATCTTGAACTTTCAGAGTTGGAATACGTTTTCTTAGAGAAATGCTCATATCTCTCAAATACACTCTTCACAGGCGTTGTAAAAACAATGTTTCTGAATTCAAGGTCATGGTAAAAGACAGTAGTGATCTAATATTAAAATTCTTCTACCTCAAAGTTCACTGAATAAAACAATTTTTAAATATAAATTATTCCCAGAGATTGATTCCAAGCACTTGACTTTCTTGCCTTTAAGAATCATTTTCCTCCTTCCTTCTTATCCTTATCCCTGCTAATCCAGAAACCTCAATCTCTTGCATTTACTGGACACTGACACTGCCTCAGCAGAACAAGGAGAAGGAGGAGGAGGGGGAAGGAAGAGGATGAGAGAAAGGTGGAGATAGGAGAGCTCATTATTGATCCCAATTCTGATTTGTCAAGGAGAGTGTCAGAAGAGACTCATCCTCTAGAACACCAGTGTTTCAAGAATCATGAGGTTGAGAATCAGAAATAGAAAATAAAAAATCCAAGGTCATTTGTTCTGTCTTTTGTTTTACAGATAAGAGGACTGAGATCTATCAAGAGGGCTGAATTGTCCAGGCCTCACACTAATCACTAAGATGCTATTATTGTGTTGTATAGCGATATATAGGTTTTAAGAAAACCTATTAAAAAAATTCATTCTCTCAGCAGTTTTCATGAAATATGCTTGTCAAGTATCACGTAGGAGTGAATGGTTTCATTTTTTTCTGTTCCACTATAGAGGGAACTTAGAGGTTATGTAAGAGAAACCAAATGGCCCCTACACTGACTTTGGTTCTATAATTAGTTTTCCAAGTAAGGAAACTATTTCAGAAAGAAATGACCCACCCAAAATGTCATGGCTCACCCAATGATTAAGCTACTTGTAGAACCCAGGAAATTATCCATACTTTGCATTTAGAAATAAGATAAGGCAGTTTTGTGTGACCAGAGGATCCTACACTGAAAACAGTTCAGTATTAGAAATATATTTTGGACAATATTGACATTTAATCCTGATAGTTTTAAAGAAGTTGCTGTACTTAATATGGCTGCATTTTGAATAATGTATGAATTGAATAATGTTCTAAGGTGACTTTGGACAATATTTAGATATTTGTTGTAATAGGGCATATGATATTCATGAGCAAAACTTGAGCTAGAAAAACTGTAAACTAAAAGAAATTTGCAGTAGATGTAACTTTTTAATAGGCGCTAGTAAATTATAGTTGAAAATAGATCAGAGGACATTTGCAAATTACACATTTTAAAAATTTGTTTTCCAGGATCTAGTTCAGGTTCAAAATTAAAAGGTCCTGAACTGAGTTTAAAAGGCACCCAGCACGTCATGCAAGCAGGGCAGACACTGTATCTCAAATGCAGGTGAGTAACTGTGTTTATCTGGGGATAATCTACTTAACACCCACCCGCC